CAGCTGTTGTGTTTTCCCAATCTTTGAGCCCAGGTCTTTTGGAAAACACACAGACACAAGACACTGCCTGTGTTCTCAATGAAACCAGAGGCCTCCCAGTTCCTTCCTATCGTATACATTTGCAGAGTAGTTTAAAAGAACTTAAAAGCAAGTTTGGGCCACTCTATCAGCCCTAAACGGAAGTCAGGATGTTGGAGAATTCAGAGCTTTTGTAGCACTGTGATGACAGCTAAAAGTCCGAGTCTTTTGCTGCTGTTCTGCTGGGCCTCTGGCACCACACAGGCTCGTTAATCTTCTGTTGAGCACCGGTATCCACATAAGGGCATCGCTGTCTCTTAGCATCGTGAACCTAAATATCCATTCCTGAGAGAAATTCAAGAAAAACTTATTATCATCTTGTTTGTTATTTAATCGAGGAGCCAAAGTCATCCACAACATCTGACCACTCTCTTTGTGGCTGTTAATCTTATTTCTCAAAGTGATCACATTGGCTCCTAATCCTGGCACCTTCGCGGTGCTCCCAGAGACATAATGTCTCTTCCCTGTGTGCTAAGACAAAGCTGGTGCTCAGTAAACCAAAAAAGAAAAGAAAAATAGGGTGGTTGTTGTACTGACATTTAAAAATATTTGCCGCCATTTGATTTTGCTCTGTTAAGTGTTTAGTTACGCCGGTTTGAGAGATATGAATGAAAGTTCTAGCTGTCTACACTGGGAAAGCGTTGCCCAGACGATGAGATTAAATGAAACTTGTACCTCCCCAAGTGCCATGTGGACTTGGACAAGTGTGGACATGGGTGAGTTATCAAAGGGAGCACAGACCTCTGGCTGCGAAACTTGTGGAAGAGCTCAGGGCAGGGGCTTCCAACCAGGGCTGAGGCCGGGATGCCCTGCAGAGAGCTGAGGTCTGGGGAGGAGGCAGCTGTGGCCTGCCCCACAGGCTGAAGACCAGAGCAGGACAGTGCTGCACAGCCCAGGCCCGGCCAGACGAAGCCTGCAAGGCCAGGAAGAGGGTCTGCTCTGCGTGAGAGCCCAGTGCTCCGGACAGGCCTGTGGGGCAGGAGGAGGCAGCCACAGGGGAGAGCTCAGTGCTTCTGGGAGGGAAAGAGCCTCCTCCCCTGCCTGTGTCTCTTTATCTCCCGGGCCTGACCCTGACATTTTCCTGGCCCTCATTAAGACGCAAACTTCTCAGGGGTATCAGACTGTCATACCACTAATCTTAAAGTAGAAAATATGCTGATTATCTTTCAGTTGGGATTAATACTGATTTCAACTTCTCCTAATGAAGAGTTTCTACATCAAATTATTTCAGAAGGACATTCAGTGCTCTGGGAAAAAGTCCTAGAGCACTGCAAAGAGCAGAGGACCTATGAAGGAATCTGGGGTTGTTAAACCTGATGTCATATTTAATTTTTAAGGAACACAAACAAACAGAGTTTTAAGTATGATTCTACAAAGAAGAGTGAGCTGAATATTTTCTGGTTAATCTATCAAAGCAGGGTATTGTTAAACGGTTGGAAAATATAAAATGTTTTCACTAGTGTGTCAAATGTTAGTGACCTTTAACTGTGCAACTTCAGGGCCACAAGATGGACGATGACAGCATTGTGGTGAGGAGCTAGGACTGCAGGAAGTGTGTCACGGTCTGGCTCTTTGTAGATGTTGGTGCATTGGACTGTTTTATTTCTTTGTAGGATACCAATGAGTAAAAATTTGTCTCTTAGTGTAAGAAATAACCATACTCTTAATTAACCACACAAATGAAAGTTGACTTTTTTTTTTTTTTGCCACTTAGAATGTAACAGGAAAAAATGCAAACAAACACACACCAAAAAAACTCCACAAAAATAAAATTTACAAAGGAAAAGAAAATGTGTGGGTACGTTTTAGGGTTATTTTTGGAAAACTGTTAAATTAAAAACACCTTTAAACCCTTAGTCATATGGAAATTGATTTGTGGAAACATGAGCACCGGTAGGGAATTTACTATGTTTTCATTTAATGAAAGTCATTTTTTATGAGGTATTACAAAGAAATTTGACTTTGAAAAATTGGGGAATTTCTAATGAAACTAAAGGTTAAAACCATAGAAAATTCAGCACTATAATTGGCTGTTTTCTCTCATAATATGCTGCTCTCTCAAATCCAGCATTTAGAGTATTATAAAAGTCTTTCTTTGTTAGATATGGATTTGACATTTCTCTATACTATTCTATGAGCATAAATGATATTCCTAATCATGTGCATGCCCTTTCTCCCCAGGTATCTATTGCTCACCCTTTAAAAATGGAAGCCACATGTGCTGGCTCCACTCAGGTGGGAAAGTCTGAGCTTCCTGCATGTATCAGGGAGATTTTCTGTCACGGGGACAAAACAACCACGCTCCAGACGTAGAGGAGGAGAGACTTTTTGGCCCAGGGCTTGAGGATACTCGGTCCATGGCCAACAGCCTCCAAGGAATAATTGTCATGGTGGTAGGACATGGAAAACTCTGCTCATTGCATAGAAGGGATTGGACCAAAGCAAGACAAAAGCTATCAGATGAAGATGAGAGCTGCTAAGGTTGGATGTGGCTTCCCCAGCAGGACTTCTGTCCCTGGTTGGGGTCTCACTGCAGCCACCACAGAGGCTGAGTCAGGGCTGAGGGCTGGTCGAGAGGGTGAGGCTCCTGCAGCTGCTGCCTCTGGAAGGGACCAGGGCTGGGCTCACCCAGGAGGCTGCCCCTAGTAGAGGGTGGTGTGAGGAAGCGAGGCCACACTCCACGCTTGGCCACCCTAGCTCGCAGCTGGTTTCCTGCCTTCTCATGTGCCACATTCTGACAGCAGTGGCTTTATCCTTACCAAAGGACAAACAGATGGGCCTTCAAGAGCTTGAACTTGCAACCTCCAAAAATGAGTGAAATAAATCTATTTTTATACTATACTCAGTGTCACATATTTTGTTATGATATGAATAAAAGGAAGAGTACAGGTGCATCATTTTTAATGTGTATGTTTATATTGAAATGTCTTTCAAGAGACTCACTCCAGGTAAAGAGATTCTCATTAACTGCAAAAACCTCTACCATAGTTTCTTGATCATTCTCTAGGTCTTGTGCTAACATGCAGAAAGGCGGGCTGGGAATCCAGAGGACAAAAGTGATTCTGAGGTTTTGTATTCGTGAAATCTCACTGGTACTGATGAAGACGTTATATTATGCACAAGTTCAGTGTACATAGAAAACAAAGCTGCATCATCCACATTAGGTTGGTTTGGTTTCTCTTTGTGAAGAAATTTGTGTTTTTATTAAATACTTCCTGGGTATTTCCTGTATATTTTTTACTTCTTGACACAAGGACTTCACAACGCTTGCTGGGACCTCGCTGTCTGATCCCTTTTCCAGGCAAACAACACGTGCTGTGGAGCGGTGACCCACCTGATGCGGTGCTCCACTGGGGTGAACACTGGGGTGAAGCAGAGCCAGGGACAGGCCACAGTGCTGTGCTGACCAACATTTCTGGACTTTCCCTTCCCTGAGCTGTGTCTTCTACTCATTTCTCATAGAAATGCTCACAAAAGGGCCTCTGAGACTTGGAACTGGAGGAGGACAATTCACCTTGAGCTGCACATCTCTCAGGGGGAGACGGGTGTGGACCCAGAATCCCCTGCGTCCTTGTGCTGCAGGATGACAATGGCGGGTCCCTCACCTGAGTCACAAGTGAGGACCTCATGGCTGGAGGGACCATAACATCAGGGACAGAGGTTAGAAGGAAACGGGCAAGGGGCAAGGACTCAGCATGACCCTTCTCTAACACCTTCAAATGACCTTCAAATACTCACTGAGTCTCATAAAAACTTTTAGCAACTCAGGCACCAGGGAGAGAAGCTGGGCAGCCCAGCCTCACACTTCTGCTTCTCTGGGAGGTTTATGTCACGGCTTCCATCACTGTGGGAGGCCAACTGTTACTCTGCTGACAATAATACTTTGCAAAGTCTTCAGCCTCCAGGCTGCTGATGGTGAGGGTGAAATCTGTCCCAGACCCACTGCCGCTGAACCTCGAAGGAACCCCAGACTGCACAGTGGTGGCATATCTGATTAGGAGTTTAGGGGCTTGCCCTTGTTTCTGCTGATACCAGTGTAAACTACTGCTAATGCCCTGGCTGGCTCGACAAGAGATGGTGACTCTCTCTCCTAAGGATGAAGACACCAATGGAACCTGGGTCAGCTGGATGTCACCTCTGCCACCTGACAGTAGAAACAAAAATGAAATATTTACATCATTAATCATGGTATAAAAGAACTTCCTGAAGATCTAGGGTCCTGACCATGCAGTGCTGAGGAAGTCCCCAGGGCTGCCCCTCCTTACCTGGCAGCCAGAGCAGCAGGAGCCCCAGGAGCTGCACAGGGACCCTCATGACCATGCTGTGTCCTGACTGGTACTGACTCCTGCCCAGGGAGGGAGCAGCCTATGAAGAAGTCCCCAGGCTGGGCTGGCTCTAGGCACATGCAAATCAGCAGGGATGGGTGGGGTGGCACAGCTGTAGGGCTGGCTCCTCTCAGAGACTCTGGGCAGGCACAGGGCCCCAGGGGTCCCAAAGGAGAACACACTGGGAGAGACTGTTTGCAGCAGCATCTCCCCCTTGGGAGCAGAGGACAAAGTCAGGCAGCTTTTCCCTTGTGTGCAGCATCATTTTTTTCTTAGATGCTCAGCTCATCTATTGTTATTTTGCCACATAACAGAAAGCCTTTAGGTATAGTTCAGTACACCTAAAGTGTATAATTTGTAACCCCCAGCCCCAGCGTCTGCTAAGCAGTACCTTAGGTATACTTTGTGAGTTGTTAGGTTGAAGCATTTTCTATGAAAATCAAAGATTGGTTCATTTTAGGTTCCCTCTTTTTTTTTAGCTGTTAATGCCACCATGCCCAGTCTCAACAGCCATCTCAGCACACCCTGGGGGTGGTGTCAGCATGGCACTCTGGGGATCGAACCCCCAGCCCCTGCATCTGCTAAGCAGCACCTTTAGTCTGTGGAGCTATCTGGCAGCCCGATCCTGTGGTGAATATTGACAGCAGGACTCTTCCCCATGCTAAGGCTCCCTGATAATCTCCGTGACGTGGGTCACCAGAATTATTCTCCAGGAATGTAACGAGGAAAAGAGACTGCAGGCTCCATGATTTGTAGTTGCCAGAACTGACAAGTTACAGTGGAGTAAAAAGTAGTCCTGGCATGTGCCTGGCAAACGAAAGTTCCTGAGTTTGATGCCCAGTACAAGAAAAAAAAAAGTAGAGCCATGAAATAAAAGGGAAATTTATAAAAGACGTCATTGGTGGTCCTCAGAGGGTGCAGGTGTTTAGGCATCAGTAAAAATGTTCTTTGTTTTAAAAGGTGGAGAATATGCTAATAAAAGCATTCAAGGGAATCACACGTTTTTGTTATGATTCGAGTCTAGGTGTTCCCCAAAGCCTCATGTAGGCATGGGGAGGGTTTCTAGACTTTTCTAGAGTTTCATGATCCCATGTTGGGATTGGGGGTGTGAACACTACACCAGCTCTGGGGCTGACAGCCTGAATGAAATATAAGGGAGGGAGAGAGGCTTACCTCCATCACTACAAGTAAGACTGTTGTCGTGAGTTGTTAGGTTGAAGCATGTCGGAGTAGAGAAAATCTATGGGTAGGGGTTCCTGGGAGAGAAATCCTGCTGGGTGTGGAAAGCACAGGGAATCCAGGTGTGTGACTCATATCATGACATTCAGGGTTCAACTTATTTGTCTGAATTTTGGGGTCTTGAGTGGATGGAATCCATCAAAATTTTAAGCTTTACCAATGTGGTATATTTCTCATATGACACTTAGTTTCTATATTTAGAACAATAGGTAGCAAACTGATTCAAGTTACCCAGCCCAGGCTATGTCCCCAATAAAGCTGATGGCCAGTACTCAGGCATTGTTCACAGAGGTCCCCCACACTGCAGGAAGATAACCATCACATAGCCTGCAATAAAATTCAAATTTGTGCAGAAGGAATCTGGTCCCACAAGTGTTCCTCAGGGTTCCCACGGCTGTAACAAGACACCTGACCTGCGCATCTTAAGGGAGGAAAGGAATACTGAGCACACAGCTCCAGAGAATTCAGTGCACAGCAGCTGCTCCAAAGGCGCACTTCATGGGGGGGGGGACAGGGACTGGGGATGGACCCCACGATTCTGCTGCCAACACTCACCAGGCCCACCCCAAAGTTCACTTATTAATGGCCTAGGTCCTGCTACTATCTTCCAAGACCATCCTGGTAGGGCAACTTGCAAATGTCTTCATCCTGGAGGAGCAGGGTCAGAGTTAAACATTTTTATGACAAATATAGGCCGGCAACCAATGTGGCATCTCTGGGACTCACAGCTGTAGGTGCCTGCCTGCCCTGCAGTCAGAGGTTCCAGGGAGAAAGGTTCCCTGCTGTGGCACTGTGCCTGGGGCTGGTCCTGTGGTGGTCTCAGGGTGAGCAAGTGGTGATTTATGGATGAACATAAAATTTCAAGCATGATCTTAGAGGATTCATACCCGAAGGGAAATGATTCACAACATTGTGATTTCTCATTGTGCCCTGAGAGGCAGCTCCTTTGTCATATTTTCTTTCCTGAATGTCACCATGGCTACAAATACCCTGAAATGGCCCTGGTTTTCATGCGCACTTTATTCAGTGACAGATTTTGTACATAGTTGCTGAGGAGCTGGAGCTGAACCAGGCCAGCCCTATCTCTGGAGCCAGGTAGGCAAGGTGACTGTGAGGAACCGTTAGCCCGATCTGCAGCTGGTCAGGCCCCATCTCCTGGCCTTGGCAGATGGGTGAGATGTAAACTTTCTCCCTCCTGCATGAGGAGCACATCGTTCCTTGTCTACACTACAGGAACCTGGCCTCACTCTCCCACTGTTACTGTTCCAGGGCATTTTCCTTGTGAGCCTCCTCATCAGACTCCCAAATGCTGTCCTTTGCACTGAATGTGACAGGTGAACTGGTTTTAGTACCTACCTCCTTGATCAGACAACTCTGAGTCTGTCTTAGATGACCCTCACCTATACACGAGGTCTACTGGAAGAATAGCAGAATGATCATCATATATCTAATATTTGAAATCAGTAGCAGAATCCACGAATTGGCCATCTGTGGTAATAGATGTTTATTATTAACTCTCTGATCTATCTATCTATCTATCTATCTATCTATCTATCTATCTATCTACATAAAGTTTAAAGATATAAAGAGAAAAAATAAAGTGATAAGGTATAAAAGGGCACAATAAATCAGTAACAGTACTTTCCTGCCTGACCCAGGACTCCAGGACATTTTCAGAAACCTGCGGAGCCCTCTCTGTCATTGCAGTGGGGCTCCTGCGCCCTCTGGGGACCACATGTGGTGAAACACCCTGTGATTCCTCCTGTCCAGGACCATCATCCTTCTTCCTGATAATATGTGCTTCTTTCTGACATGTTTCCAAACTGTTTTCTCGTTAAGTGCAACAGTCACAAATGGAATTCAGCCGCTGGCCAGCACCACGGATATACCACTGCATTATCTTTGCTCTTTGAGTAAACTCTAATAGCTCATCAATGGTGATTCCACTACGGTACCCAGCTCCAAATCCTCGTGAGATTGTGTTCATTATGCTCTAGTTCCCAGGTTAAAGATGATAGAGACATTGTGTTTATTTTCTTACAGAATATCAGTCATTTCTTGCTTCTACTAACCTTTGTTGCCTATTTCCAGTTGTTATCTGCCTGCCATGTTAAAACATTCTGAGATGTCACAAATTGAATCACAGAATTGGAGGATGCAGAGACAGAGAGACAATGGGACGGTTATCACAAACAACTACAGGACAAAGAGAGAGTTTCTCTTCCTGAAAGTGCTTGAAACCCTAAAGATAACACAGCAGTCCTATCCACCAGGGTCACTGAATCTGTGAACTTTCTCAACTCTTATTTCAGCCATTCAATGAGCGAGAAGTACAGCCTTGTGTTCACTATGCTCCTGTCACACAGTTCATCCCCCTGTTATTTGTACCAGTGCAGGTTCAAAGTAGGCTATGTATTCTTCTTCATATATCCATTAAAATCCTTTTGGCTTCCACAAGCAGTGGACGTGACTGTGATTGCTCTTGAACTGCCACAGTGTGGATTACAAAAGTATCCAAAGACCAGGCTCTCTGCTGGGAAGCACCTGTGTAGGCTCAATAAACATTTACTCCCTGGGCAACTGGCATCCTCGACTTTGTCCTGCCAGGCAGCATACATTTCCATTACCTGATAACTCTAGTCGTGCTTGGGATACACCAAGAGGACACAGACAAAGGTCGCACAAGATAACTGCCCTTCACTCTCAGTCTGGCTTAGTCTCAGATCCTCTCTAGTTGATCATCTCAGGTACAAGTGGGCTGCATGCACTGATTCAGGAGAGACGCGACACCAGCCGTTATCTTTCCTAAGAGAGGTAACACCGGGAAATATTTATGAAGATTGGAAATTCTTCTTTTTATGTATTTGGTAGTGTCTAAGCTCGAACTCATAGTGATCCTTCTGTTTTCAACCTTCCCTGCACTGGGATTACAGACATGCATCATCATGCCCGGGCTCAGTGGCAGACTCTGCACACCTGGGGGCGGAGCTGGTGTGGCCTGTGGTGCCAGGCATCAAACGCTGGTCCCTGCGCTTGCCTAGGCAGGCACCTACTCCACCAAGCCATCTCACCGGTCCTTGAAATTCTTTTTGTGGACCCGTGTAGAACCCTGCCTGTAAAAGTCAGAGTGCTGCTGTAATACAATGCGTAGTGCGCTGGGGAGCACGTAGCATGTCTTCAGCACATAAGTAATCGTCAACAGCGAATGTGAATCACATCGCTATTCTTATCATTTCCTTGGGAGAGATTTTTGTCCTTTACTCTCTTGGTTTTCTGCTCCTGAAACAATTCTTTTAAGAAGAAAGTTGCAAGGCAGCTGGAGTTGTATTCTTTTTCATGTCTGTTTATTTCTTATTAATAAATTATGTGATCATGCTGTATTGCAAAAAAGAAGCGTTTCAGAGGACTAAAGTCCCTTGGAGGATACACAGGGTCACCAAGCTGTCCCGCAAATTGCTCTAAGTCATAGAAAAGACCACAGGGAGCATCGGGCTGCAGAAGCTCAGCCTCCCCACACAGCCGCAGGTGGGGGAGGACGCAAGGTGGAGGCGGCAGCAGGCTGAGGAAACGAGTGTCCTGCTGGTCACTGTGGTCAGCTGAGCTCAGAGTGGGAACTGATGCCCTCTTCTGTCCTGGGCTTTGAGGACTCAGGAGATGCCATTCCTCTTGCTAAGATGCATGAGCTGAGGATCAGAAAGGTATTGTTCACACTTACAAACTTCAACTTTAACAAGTCTGCTTTTGCATTTCTCCTTGGGATATAAA